ACACGTTGCACTCAGGGGATCCCACCACACCACTCAGAAACTCCCAGAGTCTGCCACGCATCTTCCACGTGTCTCCCCCCAACCAACACCTCTCACCACGCGTCCTACCCCCAGGCCTTCACCGGAGCCTCACCAGAACCCTGCCGCCGGCCATGCATCCTCCCTGAACCACCACACCGCCGACCACTCTAACCGTCTCCGGCCATCGTCCTTGCCGGAAACTGCAAAAAAAAACCCAGAAACACTCTTTTCTTCTCCGATCCTCTTCCGTCCCCCTTCATCTTCTCCTCGTCGGAAAATCCAACCACCGCCGGAAACTTCAAAGGATTTTTCCAGATCCTTCATCAACGTTTCCCAGAAAAGCCTCAGAACTCCATCGTTCTTCAATCCCTCCCCAGAACGTCTTCGTTTCTCATCATCGATCATCAAGAACTTCACCGGTTCTTCGTGGTTTTCAACCCAGAACCTTCATCAGCCAGAACAAGCTTCTTCACCAAGCCGTACGATTCGCCCATAAATCTCCAGAACGCGAAGAGGCGCCTCCATCGCAAGCCAACCGGTCCTTCAAGAACGTTACAACGCCGTTCGTCGCCCTCAACAGCTTCAAGATTTTCCAGTGCTTCATCATTCGTCAGTAGATCTAGGGTTCATCGAATCGTGTCAACACCTCCAGGTTTTTGTTTCTTCCAACTCTTCTTTTAGATGCTTTGGATTACGAATCAGGTAGGAATTGTGTTGGCGTTTAGGTTTAGAAGTTCTTGATAGTTCAAACGAAGAGGATTCTGGTGAGATCTGGATTTGAGGTTAGGTTTTAGTTGAGGTTTTTTTTGTGAGAATGTGCGTGAGGTTTGAGAGAGTTCAGAGAGGAGGGGAAGACGAAGACGAACAGCTAGGGTTTAGTTTGGGGGGATGAACAGTGATCTGAGTTTGGAAGGGGAAATTAGGTTTTGTTGTTAGAGTTAATTGGGTTAGGGTTAGGGTTTGGGTAAGGCCCAAACGTGTTTTGCTGATGCACCCTCATTTTACTCGTTCACCCTCCCCTCGTGTGAGAGACAGAATTCTTGGATTGGGCCTTAGGCCCTTAATGCTAGTCGCACCCCCCTTTGTGCGTAAGCCCAGTGAGTTGAACTGCAAAACCTGCTGACTGCACCCCCCCAGGCGTTTTTTTTCTTCTTCTTTTAGTTTGTAGTTGGATTCTGATAGCATTGGGCCTGCGCCTTTTGCTAGGCGCACCCCTCATTCAGGCCCAATTTAGGATTTTAACTGAACAGCATTGCTGTTTGAACCCCCCCTCCCATTTTATTTCAATTTTGTGTTTTAATTTCTTTTAATTTTTTCGTGCATATTGTAAAATTCATAATAAAATGAAAACAATTGATTTTTGATTTCTTGTTTTTTCTACCACTTTATAATAATGTCTAGAAAATTAGATAAAAATAAAATGCCATTTTTATTTTTGTTTGTTATTTTTGGCATATTTTCCATTTAATTGACTTTTTTAATATCTTTTAGTGCATGCATATTATTAGAAAATTCATAAAAAATAGTAGATTTGATCAAATAATTCCGTTCTTTTTTCTATAGACTCGTAATTCAATGTAGAATTTTATAGTGCAAAAACATTAGCTTAATCATGCATTTTCATTTTAATTGCATTTTTTGTATTGTTATTTGATATTGAATAATTGGTTTGTGGATATGTTTGCTTTGTTGATTTTAGTTCTATCATCTGGTATTGAATTTTGTTCTGATTTTTTAGTATGTTGTCATAGAGCCATGTAGGTTTCCCATAGATTTTTGTTAGATTTTTGTAGGATGTTCTGATATGTTTTAGTCTGAGCTTGAGGATAGGAGAAGTCTTGATGGCTTCAGACTTTGAAGTTCTACTGAGGTTGAACTTCAGAGGTAGTTTCTTGTGGTTTGAGGACCTGTGTTTTCTTCCTGAAGATGGGAGCTGGTTGAAGTCCTGTTGGAGCTTGCAAGGATGCATTGGATTGAGGCTTAGTCTAGGAGCTTGTTCCCCGTTTGTGAGGTTCGAGATCCTGAAGTTTGAAGGGAGTTTATGGTACTTTCCTGAGGAAGGCACTATGAATGACTTTCATTCTTTCTCCTCACCTCTTTCTTAAGTATCCAGTGATGTTGGAGCCTTCATGTGAGTTTAGTTTCTCCTGAGGAGGAATGTAAACTGATCACATGTTGTTGAGCCACATAGGATACGATTCCTAAGTGGAAGCCTCCTAGTACTTTCCTGAGGAAGGTCCTAGGGGTCTATTCACTTAGCTCCCTTAGTTTATCTAGGATTTCTTAAGTATCCAATGACGTTGGAGCCAACTTGTGAGTTTAGTTTCTCCTGAGGAGGAACGTAAACTGATCACAGTTGTTGAGCCACATGGGATACGATTCCTAAGTGTCAGCCTCCTAGTACTTTCCTGAGGAAGGTCCTATGGGTCTGTTCACTTAGTTCCCCTAGTTCTTATAGGCTTTCTCAAGTATCCAGTGATGCCGGAGCCTTCATGTGAGTTTAGTTTCTCCTGAGGAGGAATGTAAACTGATCACAGTTGTCGAGCCGCATAGGATATGACTCCTGAGTGGTAACCTCCTGGTACTTTCCCGAGGAAGGCACTATGAGCTTGTCTACTTAGCTCCCTTTCTTTGGTAAGCTTGTTCTGAAGCTTGGAAACTGGGATTGATTCCTCTTGCTTAGGGTTTTGATTAGAGTTTTGCTTAGATCTTTGCTTAAAGTGTTGCGTAGAGTTTTGTTCAGGAATAGATTAAGCTTGTTTCAGGTTTGTTAGGGGTCTTGCCCAGGAGTAGTTTCTTGTTTTGTAGATAGAGGTTTGTCAGGTTAGCTAGCTGTCTCTTTATGTTGTTTGACTTGTGTGGTGTGGTGTTGCATTAGACTTAGGTGTTCATCTAGATAGTTCTGAGGTAGGTGCATCTTAGAATTAGGCTTTGTGTGCATGAGAAGTTGAGGTGGTCCTCCTTCTGCTTGTTTGTTATTGAGTGGCTTTGCTTGTTGGTATTTGGTAGAGCTGAGCTCCCTTGCCTTTGTGGTTTGCGGCCTTTGTGCCTTGTTTGTCTAATTGTTGCATTCATGCATATTTTCTAGTATTTCTTTACTTTGTAGTATTTCCCGTTTTCCGTTTAGTCCTATTGCCATGATCCCTTAGGAGCTCTGACTTCTCCGTTGCGGAGTCGTTATGATAGACATTAGGATGGTCAATCAGGCGTGATAGCAGTAGGTAGATTCCCCTTTTTCAGCTATAGTTTTAGGGTGTCTTTTCCCTTTCCTTTCAGTAGGAGCTTTTGAGTAGCTTGTGTCGTAGTTAGCTGAACTACAGCTGCTCTGATTCCTTGTGTCAGACAAGGATATGTAGGCATAGGATGCGATATCCTAGCGAGCACACTAACAACTAACCTTTTGTTCTCTCGCGGCTGTGCGATCGAGACTTTCCCGCTGACGACTAATTGTTATCCCTTTCTCTTGTCCGAGTGCATTTGAGACCAGATCGTAGTTGTAGGTTCCCGAACCTTTAGGATCAGTTTGTTTTCTCACTGCTGTGTGAGAGCCCCCTGTTTAGCCGTAGTTAGTCGAACTACGTTTGCTCTGATCTTCCATGTTGTGTGGAAGTACGTAGGCACAGGACGCGATGTCCTGGCGAGCAACCTTTTCCCCGTTTAGATGTAGTTAGTCGAACTACGTTGACTCTGACTTTCCCATTGCACGAGGGAATACGTAGGCCCAGAACACCGTATGTTCTGTCGAGTCCTGTCCTTTTATTTTCTTTTCAGACTGGCCATTAGCGTAGATAGATAAACACCCTTTCCCTTATAAACACCAAGCGTGGATCCCATCGAGTACGATGGACGTGAGGGGTGCTAATACCTTCCCCTTGCGTAACCGACTCCCGAATCCAGGTTTTGGTTGCGATGACCATACCTTTTCCCGTCTTTTGCGAGGTTTACTTCGAGCGTTCCCTTTCCCACTCTGAGGGATAAATAACGCACGGTGGCGACTCTCCTGTCAAGCCGACGCCGATTTTCGCAGTAGCGACACCTAGCTACTAGCCTTGCATGCATTCCATGCAAGTAACTATTTCCAAAGCCATGCAAAACTTAAAGTATTGACACTTCTACTAGTCACATTTACACTTCGAAACATTTATACTTCATCTATAAATTTAGTTTTACCTTAAACTTTTTTCTACACACATTTTTACTTCTAGCACAAAGCATTATAGCATTAACAAACACTCAAGAATTTCTTGAAATATCTTGATACTCAATCAAAATGGCTTTGTTGTGGATGGGAGATGAACACCGTGGAACACAACAAAACATTCAAGCTAGTGTAAGTTTTACTCTACTATTCTATGAATAATGATCATAATTGCTTGGTTCAATATTGTTTCATATCATTTCAGACTAATGCAAGGTTTCGAGTGCATTCTCATGCTCCCATTCAAGCAAGTGCGAGAATAATCCCGTATCTAGAAATAGTAGGTTTTGCTCATATCGCAAAAATAAATAGTCTCAAAATTGACTCCAGCTTTGTTGTAGCTCTGTTAGAGAAATGGAGACCAAAACCACACACATTTCACTTTCCAACAGGTGAATGCACAATAACGTTAGAAGATGCGAATATGTTACTTGGTCTGAGAGTTGATGGAAAAGCTATCAAAGGTCCTACCGAAGTCACAAATGATGTTTACATGGAGAGCTTAGGGGTGGAACCTACATAAGTGGATAAAAACAGAGGTTCTGTTAGGATTACGTGGCTAGAAAATTTATATGAAGTTTTAAAAGATAACTCTGCCCCCACACAAGACCAAATTGTTTTACAAGCTAAACTTTATATTTTACTTGTAATCGCTACTATTTTGTTTCCTGACAAGAGTCAAAACCTTTTGCATTCTTCCTGGATTCCTTTCGTAGGGGATCTAGAAAAATGTGACATCTATAGTTGGGGTTCTGCATGTCTTGCAAAACTGTACAGGGAAATGTACAAGGCAGCAATCAAAGATGTTAGGAGCATGAGTGATTGTGTTCTTCTACTTACTTCTTGGGCATTCACGCATATACCATTGTTTGCTCCTGTTAGTACAGTGCAACTGTCATATCCATACGCACAAAGGTATTACTAGATAAAAACACGCATTTATGTGTATGTTATATATATATATATATATATATATATATATATATATATATATATATATATATATATATATATATATATATATATATATATATATATATATATATATATATATATATATATATATATATATATATATATATATATATATATATATATATATATATATATATATATATATATATATATATATATATATATACATATATATATATTTGTTATTCAACTATGCCTAATAATATTTATATTTTTTGTTTATACAAGATGGGTCCAAAGATGGATGAATTATGATGCTAATCCTTGTTTCCATCTACAAGGATATCGAAACGCATTGGACCACATGCAAGAAAAAGATGTAAGTTTGAAACCATAGAACATAGTTTTCGGTTATACTCCTTAATGGTATTATAATTTTTTTTAATATGTGGCAGTTTATATGGAGGTAGTACATTCAATACCCGACGCCCAATCTTAGAGATAGCCATATCTGGAGTACTACAACTTCTCTTATTTATTTTTATACCGTTGAAATGCATCAAACAGATAGAGTAAAACTCCAGTTTGGATTTGAACAACAAATCCCTTCCCCACCAAGGTGTCTAAGGGAACACCAAGCAATGACAATGAGAAAAGCCCAAAAAGTTCATTGACTAGACATAAACAAAGAGGAGTTGAGAGAATGGAAACATAGAAGACATTTGAATTTGCAGGGGGCGCTATAGTTGGTGAACGCAAGCCAAGCCAATTCAAGAGTATTTAACTTAGTTTCGTGACATTCCTTATGTGCATATTGCTCCAGAACAATTTTTTATTGACCCACGCATCAAGGTTCGTCATCAACACAACTAACTGTCGCATTAATGCATCAGGATTTGCCACCAAACTACACATCTCAATTTGGGGGGTGTTGCACCCTAAAATTTGCTCAACCTATTTCACTTGGTTTATGTTTCAATTGCATTGTCATTTGCATACTAAGTCATATACATAGTCTAACCATTTGCATAGCATAGCATAACAAGGCATCTAACAAGGGATCAAGTGCCATTCTTATCAGAGAGATGCCCATCAAGGGGTTTTATTCAAGTTCAAGACCATCCAAGTAATCAAAGAAATGAGTTGAAGCTTTAAGAAGTTTGAAGGTCAACCAGTGGTTTTTTCTCCTAAATTTGGGGTATGTTGAAGATTATCAATGAGTGTGTGAGCCATGGCTAAGGGTATGGAATGTGTACAAAGATCATGGAGGACCTAGAGGGTCATTTTGAAGATGAGTCAAGTCATTGGTACGAGTACAAGGGCCAGAGTTGAAGTGCAGTCAACTAGGGTTTCATCTGGGTCAACCCTAGGTCAACTGAGTGATTGAAGAGCATCAAGGCTTAGTTGGAGGATGTGATATTCATGAATTGATATGTGTATACATGTGTGGTGTTGTGCCAAGGAGAAATCAAAAGGAATCAAGAAGAAGAGGAGTTACTAAATTAGGGTGTTCTGTGTAAAAAACCCTAATTTAGGCCTAAGCCAGATAAGTCAAAATTCAAGTTTCAAATAAAGTCTTGGTCAACATGAAACTTGTATAGAATCTCAATAGCTTTAATTTGAGTACTATAAGTCTTCAAGAAGATTTATAGAACTCAAGTTATGGTTCTTGCAAGTTATGGGTCCTCAGAGGACACTGAAATTTATCTGTGAAAGTCACTTGACTTCCAAGCAACTTTTGCCCATCAAGGAGTTTTCAAATGGATTCTTGGCTAACATAAGAGTTGTATATATTAATGTTAGCTTTAATTTGAGTACTAGAAGTCCTCAAGAGGATTTGTAGAATTCAAGTTATGGTCTTGGCGATCCAGGGGTATTTTGGGAAAGTTGAATTACAGATCATTTTGGAGCATAGGTCAAAATCTCCATGTTCCACTTCTCAAATGAAAAATTGTTCAACATGAAATGTGCTTAAAATGATTTTTTTAGGTCAAATAAGTCATCATGGTGGATTGATCGGCTTATTTCAAAAAAGTCACTTAAAATTGCCTAAAAAAAGGGAATAAGTCAAATAAAGTTTGCTGGAAAAAATCAAATTTTGGGTTAGAGGTCACAAACAAGCCATATGACATACCAATTTGATTGTAAAATGCATTTTAAAGACAATGGCAATGCCACAATTTTGAATTGAGGGTTATTTCAAGGACTTGCTTTGTAAATTGGTTACTTGAACCATAAGGCACAATTGCAAAACCAAACTTCCAAGCAAATGCAAGGCTCCTTTCCATCCATACACCTCCAATATCTCATTTGGAGAGAATTTAAAAATCATAACCAAGTGAATTGCAAGCCAAACCAAGAGTTGGTATGAGTACATAGCATGATATGAGATCTCATGACATGAGAAGTTGATTTTCTCATTGGATCAATCTAGAACTTTCTAGGGTCTTCAAATACATTCTCATTGGATCAATCTAGAACTTTCTAGGGTCTTCAAATACATTCTATATATACTTGTGAAGAGGTTCAAAGCAAGAGTTGGTGATTCATTTGTGCAAAAACCATAGATTGACATTGGAGTTTAGAAGAGGAAAAGTGAGAGATCAAAGTTGGATTCAAGGTATTTTCAAGAGTTATCAAGAATTTAATCTTCTCCAACAAACTTCAACAAAGGTTTTCCGCACTTTTTGCCAAGAAAAAACGAGCTCCAAATACTCTGTTTCGACGCTCCGAAGCCGGTATGTGAAATTTAGTTTAATTCATTTTCGTTCTTTTTTTTCTATTTTAATAGCTGTTTGGATTAATTGCGTTAAAAATAGTAAAAGTGATCGAAAAATTATGAAATTTTTTTCCGTAGATCTTGATTGTCTTAAGAAACTGTAGGAGTTGATTTTGCATTTTTAGGATTTTATTTGAATTAGTTACGAATTTTCTTTTGTGCTAATATCCATTGTTATGCATAATTGATATTGCTGTTTGTTTAATTTTGTTCTCTTTGATGCTTTATGCTTTTGAGCTGATTCTTTCGATATGATTTAGAGGACATCCGTAGGTTTCCCCAGGAATTTTCTTAGAATTTTTAAAATTGATTAGATTCTATTTTAGGTGTATAGTTTAGAGCCTTCCCAAATAATGGTTTCCCATTACCAAATTTCATTTAGTAATTGTTTAGATGACCTAGAAATTGATTTAGGTCCTGATTCTGGAATGTTAGAATAATCAAACATGCATGTTCACATAGGAATTTTACAATTTATTTGCTATTTTTTTTTGGGTTTTACAAATGATTGTTGCTTTCGGTGTTCTCTCTTGAGTGCTTTGCCTTGTTTGGAGCGTTTGGTGGACTTGGAGCTTGAAGACTTTGGATTCCTTTTTAGAGGAGCTTCTGGACATGATGAAGATGTTTTGGATAAAAGAGTGGGGCTTGGAGTGGAGCTTTCTTTCTCTTTTAAGTTTGTTTTAGGAGTTGGTAGAATTAGGCTTTTAGGGAGAGCTTTTGTAGAATTAGTTCATTTCTTCCATCAAACATAGAATGCATTGTTTGCTTCTATTCTATCCTATGATGCAAAGTCCTCTTAGGGAAGTTCCATCTCTCCTTAAGAGGGAAGTGGGGCATACCCTAGAGAGTATAACTTTTGAGGATACACTTCCACTTCGATGTTGGTTCATGTTGAATTTCTTTGGTTTTCAGCAAGTATGCCAACATTGCAACTTGATCTTGATGACAAATCTCTTCTTGGAGTGTGCTTGCTAAAGCTTGGAGATGAAGATTGAAGAAGCTTGAAGATGGAATCTAGCTCAAAGATAAGACCTTTGCTGTCATTTCAACTTTGCTGTTCAGAGCGTGTTGTTGCTGTTTGTTGTAGGGGTTTGTTGCTGCTGCTTGGGCTGCCTCCTCTGTATCTTTTGTTTTTCTCTGTATTGTCTGTTGGCTTGTGCTGCTTGCCCTTTAGGCTTGAAGTGAAGTTGATTCACTTTGTCTGTTGCTTTCTTAGGTTTGAGTTTGAGTGGGACTCCTTTGCCTTGCTTGTTTTGCTGCATCTCATGCATACTTACTGTTTACTGTATATCTTCTGTTTCTTTTCCGTTTATCCCCTAGGATCTCTGATTTCCTTTGCACAGGAGGGAATTATGACAGACATTAGGTGTTAATCCATGCATGACAACATTAGGGTAGTTTTGATTCCCCTTTCAAACCCTAAGATTTTTTAGACTTCTTTCTCTTCTATCTCAGAACAACTCAAAACACAGTAATAAGGACGATCGATGTCGTACGCTACGAGCCTTAAGCTATTTGAGAAAGGTTGCTGGAGGGTCACTCTTCAGTAATCTGATTACTTAGTGTGTTACCCTTAGGGTGACATACGACGTAGTCACCCTCAAATCATAGTCTCTAGTGCGTCAGAGATTGCAAACCTCATGAAAAAACAATTCTTGCGTAAAAGACTGAAAACAAACATCAAAGTGTCATTTTTGTCCGCTTGGACTCTTAATCAAGAAAAACCCTTTCATAAGGAGATAAAAAACAGTCAGACAAGCTTGTGTCTTCCATAGCCCGAACTACGTTTTCTCTGATCTTTCATGCTGTATGAAAGTACGTAGGCATAGGATGCGATATCCTAGCGAGCAACCTTCCCCTCCTTTCCCGTAGGTAGGCGAACTACGTTGACTCTGATTTCTCGTTCTAGACGGGAATACGTAGGCATAAAGTGCGATACTTTGCCGAGTCATTTCCTTTTCTTTTTAACCCAGACCTGTAGAATAGATAGAATAACAATCCGTACTAGAAAACAAGCGTGGATCCCGTCGAGTACGACGGACGTGAGGGGTGCTAATACCTTCCCCTTGCGTAACCGACTCCTGAATCCAGGATTTGGTTGCGATGACCATTCCTTTCCCGTCTTTGCGTGAGGTTTACTTCGAGCGTTTCCTTTCCCTCTGTTGGGATAAATAACGCACGGTGGCGACTCTTCTGTTTAGCCGGCGCCGATTTTCGCAGTAGCGACAAGGGGCACGCATCTTCATTAGCTCAGCATACATACCAACGCACACAAACAACCGAACAACACATATATTATGCATCCTCATCCCAACAACAAACTCCCTACAATCTACTCCCTCAACAAAACTATAACTACAACTACAACCAACAATGTCAACCCCAATTCAACCTTCGACCACCCTTACAGTTCACTCCAGTTCCACCGCCCAACTTTGATCAGTCAAACCCTCAATTCCAATATCAAACCTTCAACACTTCATTCTCTCAACCCACCTCCACCTTCACGCCTGATGATGTCTACTACCCAACCCTCCAACAAACCCAACCCGAAACCTACCCCAACCACCGCAACCATCACAATCATTCCAAAAAAATTTGCTGACGGAGGATCAACTGATTCAAATACCAGATTTTAACATTGATGATTTTCTTGCTGAGCAACCATCAACACAAGCAGAACCCCCTTCAAGGCAGGCAGACCCCCTACAACACATCACGATGAAGATATGTCTTTCGACTCATCTCAATCACCTACAACGAATGCAAATGAACGTGTGGGCAGGGGATATCGACAGAAAAGGGCCACTAGGTGTGGAACTGAGAGTCATTTTTGATCAAATTTATATGTAACATGTATTTCTGTTTAATATATTTATTGTTGTATTTAATTAA